GAGAGAGAGAGAGAGAGAGAGAGAGAGAGAGAGAGAGAGAGAGAGAGAGAGGCTAAAAGCAATTGGGTATTTGATTGTGCAGGTTGGAATGTGTGAGAGTTCTAACGTGACAGAGAGCTCAACAAGCCTGTGCAACCCTGGCAGCTGTGAAGAGCGAGAAAGCTCGAGTGGCCTCTCAACCACCATGGCTCAAGCTCATATGGGTCATCAACAACAGGTTGCTTACCACATAAGCAGGCCTTCCAACCCTATATCTGCCATTATTTCTCCTCCTCCATTGCACCATCAAACCACTCTTGTGATGGATGACTCTTTCCATGTCTCAAGGCTCCTCTTCCAAGGTGACAAGTTTCAGGTAATGGATCGTAACTTCGTATTTCTAGAGAGAGAAAGCATGCCTATTAGTTAATCACTTAATTGTTTCAGTGTATCCTAGAGAGAGAGTAGTATACATGAGACAAACAACACCCGAGAAGGATTCGTAAATTTTAGAGAGAGAGAGTGATTTGAAAGCAATCATGTCACTCAATGAGGATCCTCAGAAACACTGAATTTTAGAGGGAGAAAGTGGAAACATTAGTCTTAGCATCATTAGGAAGAGTGAGAGAGAAGCATTAAACTATGGAGAGAGAAAACAGTAACTATTAAACTTTAGAGAGAGAAAACAGTTACTATGTAATCTATGGAAGCAGTTACTTAGTAACGCCCTAGGGTTTACATCCCAAAATTCTCACAAAAAATTCCCCTAAAAATTTCCTTTTCCTGAAATGGGTTAGTACGCTTCTTGTGATAAATGACCAAAATACCCTTCATTTGGGTCACCGACGGAGCTTATGACGAGTGTTACTTCTGTGCCCCTCCCAAAGATAATATGCAACTTTTAGGGGCCAATCTTTAGATGGGCCCTATTTTGGCCCATCATGCTTTAGTAATCCACCCAAACTATGGGTGGCGAAATGAAAATCCCTCATGTTTTTTATCCAAATTCATGTTTTTGTGAAATTCAGAATAAAAAAATATTGGTGGATTATAAAAATAGGGTGGCAGCTAATACCTTTTAAAAATTTGAGTGGAGGGGCATTTTTATAAAGAAAAATATTTATATAAATTTGCAACCTTTTACAACAGCAGTAATGTGCACTCTAAGAATCTAGTAGAAAAGAGTGTTATAAGTTGGAAAACCTTCGGATTGATCTTTTCTCCACTTTGAAATATATTGATATAAAGAAAAATAATAATTTTATGTCTTAAAATTAATTCATATTGTAATAAGTTATATGAAACATCTATTTTCAATTGTTTATATATCATTCAATTTGCACCGTTTTAAAATTTTAATCCACAATAAGGGTTGTATCGAGCCATCGAAAGATTTCCGACACTGGAATTGCGTCTTCTAACAAAATTTTAGTATTGCACCTTACTCAGAAATATAAGGTGGGCAACTTATATAAACCTCACCCTTTCTCAATTAACCATGAAGCAAGGGTATTTTAGTCTTTTTACTTATTATTAATAATGTTTTAAAAAACATATCTATATCTATTATCATAAGTTCACTAGGTAGAAAACTAGATTATTTAAAACTCATTCCTCCCATTGTTTTCTACTAAATTTTGCAGCATCAGCAGCAGCAACACAAGATAGCAGAGAGGCCAGGTTCTCACAAGATCTCCTTGGATGAGCTGTTCATGGATTGCACTCCTTCAGATATGAAAGAGGTAACACCCCACAAAACTCTCAAAGTTCTAGAGAGAGAGAGAGAGAGTTCTCTCATGAGTTAGAGAAAGAAAATCAAACCAATGCAAATTCTTTGATGGTTCTCAGCTGAGAGAGAGAAACAAATCAAAGCTCTTTGTGGGTTCTATGTTGAGAGAGAGAGAGAGAGAGAGAGAGAGAGAGAGAGAGAGAGACG